CTATTTGGGTGAGAAGAGGTCATCCAGTACACTCCAAAGAAATATTCGCTATCTGCTGAAGACTATTTTAGGGTAGTCTGGTGGTGTACTTTACTAAAAGAGTTGCAAAAGTCCAATTCAGAAGAAATGTGGAAAAATAGTTTGTTTGGATGCCTACTTTATGAAATTTGGTATTAATGGTTTTTATTTTTAAATTGAGCTGTTTGGTGTAAAACTAGATTGTCATGCTGAGTAACGGATTTTACAAAAATACTCTTTACTACTCAGCAAGGAATTTTCCTTGTTTAGTTTTTTGCCTCCCTTTTATTCAATGTGATCCGTCACAAATCTGAGTGATTCAAACTGAGGGTATGATACAAAACTCTTAATATGAAGAGGTTCCATTCCCTGAAAACTGCAGGTCAAAACAATCACAATCCTGTGATATAGTCAGCTTATAAATGGTTTCAACACAATGTTGCATAGCTACTTTGATGTAAGGTAAGGAATGTGAGGTAAGCTTGGCTCTGCCCCTCAAGTCTTAGGCAGACCACTTGCATTGGGACCACTTATTTCTACTGTAAATGCGATATGGCCACTGCAAGTGGTAAGTCAGTTTCTTTAAACAAAAAATGTATACATAAAGTTGCAAATGTGCTACATTATGCCAAAACACACACAGTCAACTTGTAATATTATGACAACTGCATTAGACGTGGCACCGAATGCATTTTTCCAACAGTACAAGTTGTGGATTGAAAGGATTTATTTTAAAACCGATTACCTGCTGGGAGAGGATAGTAACGGCTTCTTTGTGTTTAGCATCTCTTAAATTGATGCCATTTACTGCCAAAATTGCATCACCAACATGAAGTCCACCACATCGATCAGCTGGCTGTGCCGGGTGAATTTCTGATATAAGAATTGGTACCCCATGTTCCTTTCCCCCCTGCAATGAAAAAAAAAAAAGAAGAAAAAAATGAGTAAGACAATTTATGTAGATACATTTTGCCCTAGTAAGAATATAAATCACTTCAAAAAACACAACTATGCAAAACAATCAATATAACAGGAAGGCTCCTTCTAATCCTCTTGTATGGAATTGTATTGTTACTGTGCTTTATTTCGTAAAGCGCACTTCAAACTGTTGGCTCTATATAAATTCCGTAATTATTATATATATATAGATATCTATA